GTTTCTCTTGCGTTTTGGGGCGTGGGGGGGGGGGGTCAACAGTGGGAGGGCTTCTAGTGTCCTGGCCCCACTGGTGGACCTCCTGATGGCACTGGTATTTCTGGCCACTGTGTGATACAGAGTGTTGGACTGGATGGGCCTTTGGCCTGATCAAACATTGGCATCTCCTATGTTCTTATGTTCTATAAGAAGACAGGCTGGAGTCAGAACCAGTGTTCCCTGTAAGATAAGTCAGTGTGAGCTAGCTCACAGTTTTTTTAGCCTCCGGCTCACTCATTTTGGTCTCAGCTCAGGAAGGGATGGCTCCGGAACAAACTAATTTATGCAGTAGCCAAGTCACTCGCTCACAAAGTAGAATTTTTGCTCACAAGACTCCACAGCTTAGCGGGAGCACTGGAACCCAGACGCAACTCCCTTTACCTTTTCTCACAGGAGACGCTGTCGATATCCATGCTTTGCGACCTGGAGAGGGACTGAGACTGGGTTTCGAGGCTGTTTGATGGAGAACTGCTGAGCGAACTCACTCCTTCGCTGCTCTGGCTTCGGTGGGCTACGCCTGAAGGAAAGACACACCACAGAATGTAAGGAAAGTCCGGTCAGCAGCAGCTTAAAAGACTAGCCACCAGTGTTCCCTCTAAGCTTAGTTAGTGTGAGCTAGCTCACAGTTTTTTAGCCTCCAGCTCACACATTTTTGTTTGAGACACACAATGTCCTATCCCCCCCAACAGGAAAAAGCAGAGCCAAGCCATTTAAAACATTGCACAATAAGAAAAAGCCACAGAGGAGGGAAGGGAGGTTTCGCAGAAGCATCTTTAAGGCTGAAATATATACACAGCACTCAGACTTTGCGTACTGTGGTCGGACACCCCCTTGCCCATTTGGAAAGTTGTTGGGTTTTTTGGCCTGTAAAAAGGCTTTCCAAGCAGTGACAAACCTTTTCCACCCACGAAATGTGAACTACCACCTTCTGGCCCCTGACTAAGAGCACTTCCAGACACTGTGGCTTGCTAATAAGCAGAGCACAGCCCCCCACCACCAACCCCCCAGCCTCACACACATCAAGCCATCGGCCATACCAACTGCTGCTAACCAGAAGCTTACTAGCAGCAGCCTACAAGGAAAGAATCACCACCAGAGACTCCTAGCCCAGGGGTCCCCAACCTTTTCGAGCCGCAGGCACATTTGGAATTCTGACGCGGCATGGTAGATGCAACCACAAAATGGCTGTTGTGGGAAGTGGAGGCAGCCAGCTTAGCTTTACTAACACAGTGCAGAACCTTGTGCTGTGGTGGCAGCTGCTGCCAAAGAAACATTTTTTAAAAAATCTGCACAGCCAATCAAATCCCAGTCAATCTGTGACAGTCAATCAAAAGTCCTGATGGGCAAAAGCCCTCCCTGCTCCCCCTACCTTCCTAAGGAGGCTTGGTGGGTACCAGGAAAGGGTTTGCCGGGGGCCATGGCGCCCAAGGGGCGCCGTGTTGGAGACCCCTGCCCTAACCTAACAAATTCTCACCGGCAACAAAGACAGATATCATAGAGATCGAAGACCCTGCAAGCAACCTAGATGCTGACTTTATCCTCCCTACAACATGCTCAAACAACATGACCTCTGAGCCCAACAAACTACAGCACCTTCGATTCAACCACATGCTCATCCTCCAGCGTAACATATCCCATCATGTGTCAATGGTGCTCTTCAGCTACAATGGACAAGCAGTCCAGTCCATACACGTAAGAATAAACAGACACAAATCTGACATTAGATACTGCAATACTGAGAATCCGGTGGGTGAACATCTTAATCACAAGTACAATCCAGCTCCCAATCCAGAAGTCACTGGGCTCCTCCAAAGGTAAAGGTAAAGGTTCCCTTGCTCGAAAGCCAGTCGAATCCGACTCTAGGGTTGCGGTGCTCATCTCCGTTTCAAAGCCGAAGAGCCAGTGCTGTCCGAAGACTTTTCCGTGGTCATGTGGCCGGCATGACTAAACACCAAGGCGCACGGAACGCTGTTACCTTCCCACCGAAGTGGTACCTATTTATCTACTTGCAATTTCTTGCTTTCGAACTGCTAGGTTGGCAGGAGGGGCTCCTCCAAAGGGAGACCTCAATGTGAAATTGCCGAATCGGGATTCATTAACAAGCCCAAGGCTATTTACATGCAGGCACAGACACACAAACCAGATCTCAACAAGGCCCAGGCATTCCTCGCTCACTAGAGCTGCTATTATCTTGCATACCACGGCTCTTAAGGATGTTAACTGGCTTATTTATGTAACTAACTAACCAACAGCTTATCTTGTTCTATCCTGCACTAATCCTACTCTGCCAAGCAACAGCTGGGAGTGGCCCACACATCCTCTGAGTAAACTCTTTTGATTGGACTTTGTTTTAATCCCGCCTCTCTTTGTAGTGTCTCTTTCCCACCTATGTTGTCCGTATAAAAGTATTTACCCTAATGGATGTACGCTTCAATGCAACTGATGAACTGACTCAGCGTACATCCTTATGCTGAAATAAGCTCATCGCTAAAGTGCCACTGGACTGTTTTATTTCTAAGAGCCAGTGCTAGTAGCCACAAGGTATAGATGGAACGCTATGTCTGGGGCAGTGACGCTCTGCCTTCTTGGTGCGGGGGGGGCAACAGTGGGAGGGCTTCTGGAGTACCGGCCGCACTGGTGGACCTCCTGATGGCACCTGGGTTTTGGCCACCGTGTGGCACAGAGTGTTGGACTGGATGGGCCACTGGCCTGATCCACCATGGATTCTCTTATGTTTTTATGTCTGGGGCAGTGATGCTCTGTCTTCTTGGTGCTTGGGGGGCAACAGTGGGAGGGCTTCTGGAGTTCTGACCCTACCCGTGGACCTCCCAATGGCAACTGGGTTTTGACCACCATGTGGCACAGAGCGTTGGACTGGATGGGCTATTGGCTTCTCGTATGTCCTTATGATATCACATTTGCATCCTGCCCTTCGTTTGTCTGCAATGTGGAGTTGGAGGAGAGCTTGAAGGATACCGCAGACCGTCAAAAAGGCAAATAGGGAAGTTCCACATCAAATCAAGCCTGAACTCTTCCGTAGAAGCTAAAATGACAGAAATGAGGCTAAGGTGCTCTGGTCACCTTATGAGATGACAGGAGGACTCAGTGGAAAAGACAATAAGGCCAGGAGAGGTCGAAGGCAGCAGGAAGACCCAACATGAGATGGATGGACTCAGTTAATGAAGCCACGGCATTCAGGCTGTTAAGGATAGGATCCTTTGGAGGTCATTAATCCAGGCACCCTAAGTCAGAAGCAACTAGACGGCACACAACACACACCGCCTTCTTCCAAGCAGCTCGGGCCAGCACTGCAGGATCCTCATGCCTTTCTACCCTCCCCAGACGACTGTGATGTACTTCAGACTACGGCTTCTTAAGAGCCACCCCAAAAATTCCACGGCTGGGCAGCAACCTGAGCCTGCCTCTTCCTGGATGACATCCAATGCTTCACATCTCCAAAACACCCCGGTGCTCCTGACAGCAGCTGCCAAACCTGTTTTACTTCCTAGCTGGCTGCCGACGGGGGCCGTGGAAGGAGACAACTGGGTGTACAGAGGAAGGAAGGCTTCCAAGGGTGGTTTTCCAAACAGGCCACTCTCTTTCTTTGCATCAGAACAGAAGCAGCAGCCTTTGCTGTCACGGCGCTGCAAAGGGATTCCGGCAAACTGCCTCGCACGGAATCCTTTGTTTATCCCACGCACGCGCACAAAAAATGGTGGGAAATGATCGACCACTGCCTCCCACTTTTCCTCTCTTGCATTTTATTTCTTTGTTTAAAGCCCTTATTAGCTGCCTTTCTACTTTGCAGACTTCAAGGCCGCTTACGATGTAAATAACACAATTATTGAAAGAACACCTAAAAGGCCACAACTTAAAACCTCCAATTAGGACTGCCAATAAATAAAAAACGAGGCAGTGCTAAATAAAAGTGTCTTCGACTGCCTCCTGAAGACCGAAAGTGGGGGAGCCAGGCCCACCTCCCCGGGGTTCCATAATCATGGGGCTGCCACCAGTGTTCCCTCTAAGCTGAGTTAGTGTGAGCTAGCTCACAGTTTTTTACCCTCCGGCTCACACATTTTTGTCTTAGCTCAGAAAGGAAGGCTCCAGAGCAAACTAATTTATACAGTAGCCAAATTGCTCACTCACAACGTTAATGCCAGGAGCTCACAAAGTAGAATTTTTGCTCACAAGACTCCACAGCTTAGAGGGAACATTGGCTGCCACTGAAAAGGCCCTCATGCCCCAAACAAAGGATTCTTTAGCTCTAGGAAGGGCAGAATACATCTCTCCATTGAGCTTGACATTAACTTTGGCCCAAACATAAGGAGCATCATTTTCCAAAAAAGGACTCCCTCCCTCCCTCGAGTAAGTATGAACAACAGCGTGCACTCTCGGAGTCCAGGTCAGCCGAGCTGCTTCAAGCAGGAAAAAAACAAACTGTGTTTTTATTGTTACATTGCCTCTCAATTTTAACGTCAGTGTGCAAAATCTCACCACCATTAAAAACAACAGTTGCCCACAACAACCACAGGAGGTTAAGAAGAAAGCAGAGGAAAGCAGGGACTCATGAAGACCAGTTCACAGCAATGCTTCCCATTTGTAAAGAGGACCGAGAGACAGAACCGAGAGCAGAGTGATTAACACATAGAATTCACTGCCACAGGAGGTGGTGGCAGCTACAAGCATGGACAGCTTCAAGAGGGAATTGGATAAGCATACGGAGCAGAGGTCCATCAGTAGCTATTAGCCACAAGGTAAGGATAGGAACTCTCAGTCTGGGGCAAGGGATGCTCGGTATTCTTGGTGCTTGGGGGGGGCAACAGTGGGAGGGCTTCTAGTGTCCTGGCCCCACTGATGGACCTCCTGATGGCACCTGGTATTTTTGGCCACTGTGTGACAGTGTTGTACTAGATGGGCCATTGGCCTGATCCAACATTGGTGTCTCTTATGTTCTTATAAGAGGGAATTGGATAAGCATATGGAGCAGAGGTCCATCAGTGGCTATTAGCCACAAGGTATAGATAGGAACTCTGGGTCTGGGGCAAGGGATGCTCTGTATTCTTGGGGGTGGGTGGGCAACAGTGGGAGGGCTTCTAGTGTCCTGGCCCCACTGGTGGGCCTCCTGAGGGCACCTGGTATTTTGGTCTCTGTGTGACAGAATGTTGGGACTGGATGGGCCATGGGCCTGATCCAACATGGGCTTCTCTTAGGTTCTTATGCTTGAAATGACCAGGGTTGGGGAGCAAATACAGTTCCCCCCCAGGACAATATAAGCTTACCAAGTGCTTACTTCCAGCGGGTGATCACTGCCACCACCCTTGCCTTGCCACCGCTGGGAATGTTAACAGCAGGAGGTGTGGGGGAGATGGCGTCTGACCCAGAGATGGCATAATTTTGGGGTACCTGATGAAGGGAGCATTGACTCTCAATAGCTTATACCCCGAAGACCTTGTTAGTCTCTGCCACTGGACTAGAATTTGACTCTTCTACTGCAAACCAACAAGACTACCCTCTGAAACGAGCCTTTGGGTGACACTCTAGGAATCTCCCCTCTGGTATCTATGATTTTTACCATAGAGATTGGGGCGAAGGGTTCCTAGATGTCACTTCTGCATCAGGAGCACCCCTCCCCAGGCCCTACCCCCAGAAAGCTCCTGGAGGCTGCAGGCAGAGGCTCCTGGCCCATCGAGCACCACATCACTTCTTCTGACCAGAAGAAATTCTGCAGAGTCTCAGCCAGAGAAAGGACATTTCCAGAACACCACAGATCCTTTAACTGGAGATGCTGGGGAAATCAAACCTTGGATATTCTGTACGCAAACCATGTGCCCTCTCCCACCAAGCCACAGCTCCTCCAACATGTGTATTTCCTTGAAATAGTTAAAAGGATGAAAAGAAATATGCTCATTTTCTTTACTCTGTCAAACTGACATTTAATGAATCCTTCTGTGTAGTCATGTCCGAGAACTTCTCGATGCTGAGGCTGGAGCAACCCTTAAGTCTATGCACTGCCGAAGCAACAACGAAGCTGGAGCCATGTTTCGAATCCATAGGCTCCAGCATCAACTTTTTAGGAAGCCCCTGGGACTTCTGCAGGTCCCCTTACCGATGTGAAAGTAGCAGGAAGACTAAGCTGCAGCTTACCTGATGCGCCGATTGGAGAGGTAGCAGGGGTCATGCTGTGAACATTTAACCCAAGGCTGTGGGATGCTCCGGGGGATGGTGCTGCTACTGGTGGTCCTGGCGGATTCTCTCTCTGCGGAGACGTAAGCGGCGTGGTGGGCTGGGACGAGGGCCCGCCAGCGAGCCGAGCAAGGCGCCTCCGACGGATCTGTGGCAAAGGCATGCGCAACAGGGTTAGCAGGCTTTCCTGAGACTTAATCACCCAGGATCCTGACTAGGAGAGGGGCAGAACTCCAGCATGTACCAAGTACAGTCAACAACCACCGCAAGCCAAATAAGGTGTCTGCTCCCTGTATACATCAGGATGGCTGGTTGGAAGAAAGAATACAACACAAGAACTCGTGGGCACTCAATTAAATTGCTGAGCAGTCGGGTTAGAACAGATAAAAGGAAGTCCTTCTTCACCCAAAGAGTGACGAGCACATGGAATTCACTGCCACAGGAGGCAGTGGTGGCTACAAGAATGGATGGCTTCAAGAGGGAGTTGGATAAACATATGGAGCAGAAGTCAATCAGTGGCTATTAGTCACAAGTTACAGATAGGAATTCTCAGACAAGGGAAAGTGATGCTGGGGGGGGGCAACAGTGGGAGGGCTTCTAATGTCCCTGCCCCACTGGTGGACCTCCTGAGGGCACCTGGTTTTTGGCCACTGTGTGACACAGAGTGTTGGACTGGATGGGCCATTGGCCTGATCCAGCATTGGCTTCTCTTACGTTCTTATGTTAAGCCCTCACTAAACTCAAGATGGCAGAACTGAAATACAGATATACAGAAACACAGACTGCCCCAATCCCTTGTTCACTTTGAACATACTTTTCTGCACCTTTTCCACCTCTGTGATATCCTTCTGAGGTTTGCTCAGTTCAACATATCTGTTTAAAACTGAGATTTGGGGATTATATAAAATATACTTTCTTTGCGCCGTGGTGGTTTGGAATGACAGAAAACGGGACATTTTGCAGATTCTCCTCCTGCAAGCACACGCTTCTGTTCTATCAGCTCAGCCAATTGCTTAATGTTCTAGCAGTTTACCACCTGGGCTTCCCTCAGGAGATTACCAAAGAGCGCTTTCACAGAAACCGATACGGAACATGTGGAAAACATGGGTGGTGTTCATTCCCCCGACCAGATGGAACACTATAATTAGAACCCATAGCCTTAAGCAACAAGGTCAAAACCACCCTCTTGCTGGCTCTCTTAGAATCTTCCAGGAAATGCTTTTTTCCATCTTTACCAGACCCGTGAAGAACTGTGCTTTGCAAGATGGAATGTGAAAGGGCGACAGATTCCAAAGTCCAGCCCCTCTCCCCACCAAACACAGCACAAGTATACGTTATCTGAAACTAGACACTCATTTAGACACCCGTTTAAAACCAGCAATCATTACAGACATGTGTTTCTGGACTCATACATGCTTGCAGTGTCCGTTTATGTATGGTGTGAAGGGGCGAATCGTCACCTTTCGCCTGCAATTCTGCCGCTTGGAAAAGATGCCACTTTGTTTACACCGTAGTGAATGACAGGAAGCAAATGAAAAGGATAGTCTTTCTAACGATGACACGGAAAAAGGCATGACCCTGCCCACACAGGCAGCGGCTAAATCAACAGGAAAGCACTTCTGTCCTATAATGTCAGCGCGTGGCAAGTTAATTCCGTTTCATAGTTGGAGGCACTTGAGCACAGGTTTGAAGCATATCAATGCATCCTCCGGTTGCCACTATGCAAATCTGCACCACTGGAACATCGTCTACACTGCTGTGTACCATGGCTCAGGATATTTATTATTTTATTTATTTATTTATTTATTTTTCGCATTTATATCCCGCCCTCCCCAGTGGGCTCAGGGCGGCTAACAAGGGCAAGGTAAACCATGCCATAATTAAAACAAACATACATAATAGTTTAAAAACATCATAATCCAATTTTAAAACATCCAATACTTAAAACAACGGTGCTCAGACTTCCGATGTCATAGGTCCAAAGATGGCGTCAGTACAGTTCCGGTGGTACTT